CTAAGCAGAATTATTAATAGAAATTAATAAACCCTAAGAATCTCTATACTACACAGATATCTCCTGGCTTGGGTTTCTCTTACTCCTAAACGACTTATATGCGCTCTAGATCCATCTAAATGCCCTCTAGAGTCATAATTAAACCAAGATACTTTACTAACTATATATAAAACTTGTATTTCTTGATATTAGCCTAAATATTACTTTTGTAAAGAATCTATAAGACTTTCTATACATGTTGCTTGTATTCTTCTCTTAATTAGCTAAAGATTAAGATATTATCTAGATATAATATAACGAATTTTCTAAGTACCTTTATAAATTTCTTATTTATAAAGCGTTAAGATATTACTAATATAAAGATTAATCTAAAATACTAAACGTAATAAGTTCGTAGTCCTTCTTAGTCGCTAAACAAATCTGGTAATATACTTATCAAATATCTAGCTTAAAGAAGACTATAGCTTTTCTAAGAAGACTTATAGTCTTATTAATTTAAGGGATAGCGTAGCTATTCTTCTTTGTAATAATGTTTAGATCCCTAAAATTAACATAAAAACAAAGTCTCCCTTAGGGTTTCTGTACCAAAAGAATTAGTGATACAAATAAGGCGGTGCTTAATTTAATAAACCTCTTCTTAAGATGCTCCTTAATGTATTTCTTGACTACCTTGAGCTCCTCTAGGCTTATCTTACGCAGGGACTACGTCTATAGCAGCTTAGCATCTACTTCTAATTCGATCTTATAATCGTACTCCTTCTTATACTCTAGAAGAGTATTAGAAGCCTTCTTTAAGAAGACATCTACAAATTCTTAAAATTCCACTAGAAGAACCTTCTTTAAGTCTAGTTCTGGCTAGATCTGTTTTTTAACATATTTATTTATGTCCTTTATTATAATAATAAACATTTTTGTACTAAGGGTAATTAATAATTGTGCGAATACTATAATGCTTATAAGCTTAGTATTATACTAGACTGCCCTAGCCTCTTTAATCTTTCTTCTATAAGTAATAGCTATAATTATTCTGCTACCTAAAGTCTTCTTTACCTTAACAGGGTATAAAGGTCACAAAACAGCTAGGGCTATCTTAAGACACTTAAGAATCTTCGTTACCTATAATAGTAATGTCCTAATCAGATTAGTCTAAAATTTAGTTATATATATATAACCAAATTTGTTATATAACTTCTTTATTAGTTCTTTTTCTGCTACTTACTCCTTAGTCTTAGGCTTATTACTCTGACTCTTATAGTTCTGCTAAAATATAAGTTGCTCTTTATAATTATAATTTCTTATAAACTTTACTAATAAATCCCTAGAATCTAGAATACAGCTATATAGCCTTATTTACTTCTTCCCTAAGATTATAAAGTATATAGTCTTTATTACATAAAAGATTTATAATCCCTACTAATATTTACTAATATATATAAGTAAATAAAAGGCCTAAGAAATAAATTAATAGATCTTATTAGCAAAATTAGAGATAGGAATTAGTTTAGCCAGGTCTATTATATTAATTTGTAATCTTTTATAAAGTTGTTTTACTAATTAATAGTTTATAACTATACTTAATTAATATCTTGTATCTAATAGTACTAATATTATTAATTTTTCTCTTCTCTTCCTAATACTAATATTAATTAGAAATAAAGCCTTAAAATTACTCTTTGCTACTGTAATAGGAATCCTTATAGCTTCTTTATTAATTACGTTACTAGGCCTACTTATAACGTCTTAGTAATAAATAGCTTTTTTCCTAATTACTTTTATGTCTAAAGATAATCCTTTATATAGTGTCTTATTTTTTTACAACAGTAGCACCTTATTATAGATACATTTCTTAGAAGTTATAGCTTAGCTATTAGCCTCTCCTTCCTTCCTAATACTAATATTAATTAGAAATAAAGCCTTAAAATTACTCTTTGCTACTGTAATAGGAATCCTTATAGCTTCTTTATTAATTACGTTACTAGGCCTACTTATAACGTCTTAGTAATAAATAGCTTTTTTCCTAATTACTTTTATGTCTAAAGATAATCCTTTATATAGTGTCTTATTTTTTTACAACAGTAGCACCTTATTATAGATACATTTCTTAGAAGTTATAGCTTAGCTATTAGCCTCTCCTTCTTTGCTATTAATTCGCTAGTAGATTAATAGGTATTAGGAACTAAAGGTTTCGCTAGCGTACTAGCGCTAGCTGCTAATTTATTTAAGGCAATATGTTAACTATTTATATTAATATATATTAGGTCTATAATTATCTCCTAAATTAACGTATATTTGCAAAGAATAATTACTTGCTTCAGATCATCTCAAATCTTGTCTTAAAGATCCATAATCTGATCCTTTTCTTAGACTTCTGCTTTGTGAGAAAGCCGTCAGAAATCCCTTAAGAATGTAGCGAGGTCTTGCTGCCTTTGCTGTAAGTAGTAATACTTCTTACGAGTAGTCTCTTGTTAAAACAGAGAATTAAATTAAGTTAAAAGGTCCGCAAATATATCTAAAATCTAGGCCCTCTTAAAGTCCTTAAAATATGACCTAAGCAATTCTTAAGCGTCGCCGCCTGTGCGTAATTATATATAGGCGACCTTAGATAACTCTGTTAGAAAGCTTAGATAGCTCTGTCAGAAAGAGCGCTGCGTTAACCATAAACTTCATCTTTATAGCTGACAACCAAGAGCAAAACTTCTAAGGAGGTCCATCCTCAAAAATCTCTGGGTGGGGCAGCTTCTCTGTCTTTATACTAAGCACTGTCAAGGGGCTCGGAGTCGCTTCTAACGAGGCCTGCCTTTAAGGCAGCGACTCTCGTTCTGTTGAAGTCCCTGATAGAGATTCCACTTGAACTTGCGGCTTTAGTATCGCCGTAACCTTGTCGCAGAGGTTCTGAATGATCTCCTCCTTGTCACAGAGTCAATCCTTCAGAGCCTCAATCTCGATGCTGGTGCCTCCGTCAAGGTCTT